ACACACACACACACACACACACACACCAGGGCTGCAACAATACAGGAAATTCACAGTTCTGTTCGATACTTTAGTCTCACGGTTCGATGTTTTTTTCGATACAAACAGAGAAATGTCCATGCCCCTTTTAACTTGTAATTTATTTAAATTAATTATGAACATTTGTTTAACCTCAAAAGTCCAGTTTTTAAATTAAATGTTGCTGAAACAGCAAGTTTCTCAGTGGATCTGTGCTCAAAAATGCAGCCTAGGTGGAGTAGTCGAACACAGATCCACTGATCCTTCAACACAGAGCATCTTCAGAAGACATGTTGATAAAATAAAATTTAAAAATACAAGTGTGTATTGAACCTAAAGCACTGTTCGATACAGTTCAATACACGTACATGTATTGTTGCAGCCCTACTAAGTGTGTTGGAGTGTGTTTTGTTTGTGGTTGGTGTTGTTCACACTTGCCTTCCAGAGTCAGACTGGCATGGGCGGATTCTGYAATCTACTCACCTGTCCTGGATTCTGCTGATGAGGGCAGCTGGTACTTAAACTCCTGGAAGTGGTCCATTCCTCGCCGGATTATTCAGTGACCCTGGTACTAAGTAAGACTGCCTCCCTTTAGTTCACAGAAATCTCCATGAGTAACCTTGTCATTGCTGTGTATTTTTCTAAAGACAATCTGTGGAACAGTACTCACCTTTTGCAGGAGCTTAAGGACCTTTGGACTTCGACCTCCCTTCCTGGAAACTTTCACCTGATGATCCGCATCCTCCGTCCTGCCACTCTCTCTCTCTCCCTGGACCTGGAAAACAAACAAACAAACCTTGGAACCTGCAAAACACTTCCTGGATTTCCTCTGCCTCCCCCATCGGAGCAAGCCTCCTTCTCAAAGCCTGTAAGAAACAAAAACATCTCCTTCAAAATTTATTCATCTTGACTCCTGTGAACAGTGAAACTAATACTCTCATTTCCTCTTTTCAGGACGAGTCCATTCACAACCTGCACTGTAAATAAAAATCACTTTAACTTTTCATTCTGGTCTCTGAGTCGTTGATATTGCTTCATCTTGTGTACTCCTCCAGTCATAACCTTAACAAAATTATGGGTGTGGCAGTAGCTTAACATCACTACAACAGTGTCTGTTAACAAAATATCTAATGAACCATGGATAAACCTCACAGAAAGTAGTTTGTGGATGTACATCTGATTAACTTAACATTCAAGATAGCCACTGCAGCTAATTGATATCAGCTATTAGCCAACACAGAAATGGCTATAACTATACTATATATAAATATACTATAATTTTTATGGATATGAGCAAAATAATTATATGGTAATAGCTGTGAGTTTGTTAAAACACATACTGTGAGTGTGACATTTCACAATATTTATGAAAACACGTTATTTTCAAGGTTTATTCAAAATGGATTCAACGCCATCGTTCATAAACAGTCAAAAACTGGCGTGACAGGTGACATACACTCACCGGCCACCTTATTAGGTACACCTGTCCAACTGCTAGTTAACACTTAAT